GAAAGGTTGAAGAACATCAACACCCACCCCCCCGCCCGGGACGGGGGCGGGTGGGGAAATTTTGAGAGTTGAAGTCCATGCATCTTAAAGTTGCCAAGGTTGAGAAACACTGCTGTAGCCGGTCTCAATAAAGTAGAGTTCTTGTCTTCCTGTGGAATCTGTTTCCTGACCTGGTCTACTTTGCAGGGCTGACATTTACAACCGTCAAAGTAAAAAATCAAGCAAAGCCAAGCAACCAACGGAAAGGATAAGGTTCAGATAAGACGTGCCCAGATTCCTAACCAACAAGGCTGTTGGCCAGCCGAAACAGAGCTAACGTCTGAAGGGAACCGTGTAGTGTGGGGGAGCACTGGAGCTCCCTGAAGCCACGTTGCCAAGTCCCGCTGTTAAAAGCCACAGCTTTAGCTTGTGCTGAGCAAGAAGAAACCCCAACAGATTTGAAAAGGAGAGTGGGCAAGAGCAGGGAGACTGGATTACAAATCTCCAAGTGACTCAGGGATGGTGGAGGAGAAGAGGAAACAGCACTCTGTCTTCCTCTTTGCTCATCAACTGTTCCCTAAATGGTAGAAAACATCTGAACCTGGACTGGCACCAGCAGGCCCCGAATTTCCTCCGTTACCTCTCTGAAAAGGGCTCCATAAAAAGTGACCGTGTAAAAGCAATCGACTGTCCTCATGGAGACGTCCAAATCCATCACTAGTCTCTTCTGCTCCTGAGTATTCACAGTGGCTCGGATCCTCTGGGTTGGAAGGAGAAGAATTAAAATCAGTGGTGGAGCCCCAGAGGTAAAACCACCTTCCCAACCTCTTCGACCTTGAGATATCGGACCACAACTCCCAGAATTCTCAGCAAGGGCTCTGCCGGATGGGGAACTCTGGGAGTTGGCTGTACACTCTACAAGATGGAGCAACACTGATACACATTATCAATATTGACTGCTTTGGGGCACGATGCTAAGCCATAAAGCATTGTTTGCAAAACACAACAGCTGGGTTGATACATGTGGAGGGCAGAGGGAATAACCTCGAGGGACAGGAGGAAGAGCCACTGCCAAGGCAACAGTCAGATAAATGGGAGTTGAATAGGACATGCATGAACCTCTCAGCTTCTCCCTAGTCCATACAAAGATGTAGGGAGAGAGGGGGTGTAACGGTCTGTGAGAATATCCTTGAGAGATGGGAGGAGGAAGAAACACTACCAGGGCAATGGTCAGATAAGAGGTAGCTGAGCCCGCAGAAGGAGTGGGGGCATGGCAAACATCTCAGAAGGGACTCTCCCTAGTTTCTTGGACTGTAAAGGTGAGGGGGGGAGAGATGTACTTTCAGACTTGCAAGAGTCTGTTACTGTAACCTCACAATAAAGGCAGGGTTCGCACCCATGGTTTTTGTTTCTTGGCCGGACTACCTCAAAGGGCTGACGGGGCAGCACATTCAGACTTGTAAGATTCTGTCACTGTAACTGTACAATAAAATTAGTACTGGCCCACGTGACACCGGTTTCCTAGTCTGATCTGCCTTGAAGGGTTGACAGTGCCACACGCTAGGTCCAAACTGTTGAGCCCCTTTGCTAAGGTTCTCACCTTCACAGCCATGATTGTGTCGCTCTTCGCATGATGCACTTTTTCCACCACGCCGTAAGCACCCCTCCCCAGCTCTGAGATGCTCACCAAGTCATCAGCCTCAACTTCAAAATTCTGCAGGTCGGACGAGACATTGACGGATGGAAAAACAGGGTAAAGAAATTACCAATCGGTTAAGAACATGGAAACAGGTTTCTTGCCCTCCACGCCAGCCCCCAACAAACCACCACGAACACTCTTTACTAAATGTGTGTGAATGTGCGTTAAAAAAAGAGATACTGTAAAGCAGCATTTATCAACCTGAGCGACTTTAAGCCAGCATGGGGAATTCTGAGAGCTGAAGTCCACACATCTCAAAGTTGCCAAGGTTGAGAAATACGCAACTCCCAACTCTTTGGCACTATCTTTATTCCTGAGAATAGTTCTGGATCTTCTTAGAGGTATAAAAAGATGGACTGCTATGCCTAACAGTTTTGCTTGATGGTGTGCCCAGAAAAGGTCCCAACAGGTATAGCAACCATCTTCTGAGGCTGGAGGAGACTCGGGGTCCGGAGGCAAAGCCATTTTGGCGTTCCCCACCACCGCAGCTATTCGGCAAAGAGGCAACCTCTGGACCTCATTTGGAGAGAGCTTCCACAAATGTGCTCCCAGAAAATTCCCAAGGTGTCCCTGGACCAACTGATTCCCTAACCCGCTCATAAATAAATCATCATCTTTGTCATTGTTGAGAGAAGGCAGAAGTTTCACAATGCTGCTGAGGAGAACGGGAATAGAGCTTTGCCATGAAATTAAATAAACATACATACATACATATATAAAACCCACTCTTAAACCTAAGTAACCAACTGTAATTCCATCTTACAGGAAAGTCACAGCAAAATGGCAGGGTGCCTACTATGCGGGGGTGGGGAAGCAAGAGACCCAGGGAAGGACCTGGGCTTTACACTCCAGATTCCTTCTGCCACTTCATGCAGCTATCGCTATCTTTGATGGCATGCCATTCCCCCTTGGAAGAACAAAGCTATCTCTGTTCCTAAAACTAAGGTCATTCTTCCTCGAACGACATACAGTTTACAGGACAGCTTGTAACTAGAGACCTCCGGCTATTTCTAGCTGGTGTGGTGAGCGTGAGGGTCACCCGCGCTCCCAAGAGTCCAGGCTGGGTCATCCCATAGCCAATGGAAAAGTTTCAAAGGCAGGAATAGAAAAGGCTCTCGGGGAGGAAGGGAGACGGTGACCGCAAGTGACCCATCAATTACCCGGTCAGGGCAGGCCTTCCACCCAGCAGTAATTGAGGGTGGGGCATTGTTTGCCACAAAGAGGAATATATACATATATAAAACCCACTCTAGGTAGGAGGAGATTCAGAAGGGCACTGAGGTCAGGTTCAACAGAAAGCAGAACTATAAAAGGAGGGCTGGGTTGCCGTAAGTGCAGGTAGTCCTCGACTTACGACCATTTGTTTAATGACCATTTGAAGTTACAATGGCACTGAAAAAGCAACTTATGACTGGTCCTCACATTTACAACCATCACAGCGGCCCTGCAGTCACGTGATCAAAATTCGGGTGCTTGGCAACCAGCATGTATTTACACAGTTGCAGCGTCTTGGGGCCACGTGATCGCCATTTGCAACCTTCCCAGGGGGCTTCCGACAAGCAAAATTAATGACCATGTGATTCGCTTAACGACCAGGGCAAAAAAGGTCGTAAAATCAGGTACAACTCACTTAAGGATCGCATCGCTTAGAGACAGAAGTTCTGGTCCCAATTACGGCCTTAAATCGAGGATTACCTGTACTTCCAGATGTTTTGTAGGTGTTATCAAACAAGCTTCGTGGGGAAGCGCGTTCCACAAACACAGGAGGACACCTCTCCTACACAGATGGATTCTCACCCACCAAACCATGGCTTGGTGTAACTATGGCTGGTGTAAGGCTGATCCACCCCACACAGCTAGCACTCATGGTCTACAGCAGTGTTTTTCAAACTTGGCAACTTTAAGATGTGCAGACTTCATCTCCCAGAATTCCCCAGCCAGTATGCTGGGAGTTGAAGTCCACACATCTTAAAGTTGCCAGGTTTGAAAAACACTGGTCTACAGGCCACAAATGTGAGGAAAACCTATCTTGCTTAGTAAAAACTAAGCAAACCACAGAGTTACTCAGCGTCATGCGTGCACCCAGCCAGCCTTTTCTTTGTCCTGTTATAAGACCATGAGGAGAACCTCAACAGGAAGATGGAGAAACCACCACACCTTGGATTTTGTCCCAGCTGACTACCTGCACACAAGTTTTATCTACATCAGGGTTTCTCAACCTTCTCAACTTCAAGATGTGTGGACTTCAGCTCCCAGAATTCCCCAGCCAGCCACCTTAAAGTCGCTGAGGTTGAGAAACCCTGGTCTACATGAAGAAACACTTGCACGTAGGGAGTCTTTGCACGGCTTGGCTTTTGCGAGCCTCTCCTGACAGCTACATTTTGATTTTCTGAAAGGCACAGGAGAAACAGTAAATCAAAAAACTGTGCAGAAGAAAAGATCAAAAGCGCAGATGGAGGCCAGGTGAGAAGAAGACCTACCTTTTCTCCAATGGTAATAAAAGTCCTGGAATCCAAGTTCCTCGGAGGTCTGTAAAGGAAACAAAGGAAAGCAGCTCACCCAGTCCCAAAATGGTTCTGGAAGAGACACTGTAAGAAAACCCAGTGCACATCTCCTACACTCTAC